CGGGCCCGGGCTGGGGATTTGAACCCGCCACCTTAGGTGTATGTGGCTGGCACCTTAGCCGCTTGAGCCACAGGCGCCGAGCCAGACCGCCTAGTTTTTAAAGACAAACTGAAAATCTAGATTTTCATCTGAAGTCTCCTGATTCCTAAACATTGTCAAGAAGTTTTTAAAAAACAAAAAACCCACAACTCTGTGAGCTGGGTTGGCCTGGTCCCTAGGAGGACACTTGTAACAGACGCATTTTAACCCAGAGGCATCCTCCTCTGTTCCCACTTAAGTGAGGGTAAAGAGCCAGTGGGCAGAGGCCCCTGGTACCCAGGGCCCAGGGGAGAGGCCAGAATGAGCATCCAGTGACACTTTAGCATCCTCTGGCCCCAGGGCAGCAGCTTCTGTGTGAAAAGTACCAGAGGTGTGTGCAAGTTCGTCTCCAGGGCCTGCGGAGGGCCATGTTCTGGGGCTGGCACCAGGCAGCAGTTCATCGGAGACACACGTTGGCCCAGCCAGAGCAGCTGCTACTACACAGGTGGGCAGAGAGCCCAGGGGACAGGAAGCTGAAAGGGCAGCCCTGGAGGCCAGGGGCCCAGGAAAGGAAGGGGACGTGAAGGAAACCCCAGCCTGGAGACGGAGGGCCATGGCAACCAACACCTTATTATCTTTTTGGTGGGTGGAGGCAAACCCCAACCCTAACCTTTGGCCCTAACAAGCCCAGGAGTCCAGCTTCTAGCTAGATCAGTCCTTTGGTCTCAGGGGAAATCGACTCCTCAGGGTTCCAGCCATAGCGCGTGACGTGTGAAGGTCACAGCACAGGAGAATCCTACTGTTCTCTGTGGCCAAGAGAGGACAGTGAAATCTTCATTTAGATGGTGACATTCTGGTGGAACATGCAGACAGCTCATTGATTCATATTTTTAAATTAAGCTGAGGGGACAGATGAGGCTTTCACCCAAAGCTCCATACAAATTTGCAAGTGTTTGCAGTGTCCCCGTGAGGGGGACCACAGAGCAACTAATGTCTGTGCTGTTGCTCTGAGAGGCAGTGACGTTTCCTAGCCCCATCAGGGGGTGGGAGTCACCTTCCTTCTTTCCCTCACAGACACCAGGGCTTGTGAGGGGACACAGGACGTGGCTGTTGTGGGACTTGAACGGCACAACTCCTGGTTCCCATCCTTCCCAGCAGCACCTGCCTCCTGAGCCTGAGGTTCAAAGATGGGGAGGAAAGTCAGTACTCTGTGGGAGGCAGGGGAATAGGGGTGTAAATCTGAATATAATGTGACTTTTGCTGAGAACCAGCAGGCCATTTTATAGCTACTTCCAGGCCTGGTATGAGGTTGTGAAAGCCCAAAGAGTGCCCCCAGCCCAGCATCGAAACGTCCAGCATGGCCTGAGGAGAAGGGTACTGCTGGTCACACTTCCCACATGGCAGGAGGCCCCAGCAGCCACAGCCCAGGTACAGGAGCAGCTGATGGCCCAGGCCTCCCTTGGCCACTGGAGAAGCCACGTGCAGCGGGGCCGGGCAGACAGGCAGCTGAGGAGGAGGGCCTGGGCCCGGCAAGCCTTCCGAGCATGGCAAGTGGCCCTGGGCCAGCGCCGTGAGGCCCAGCAACAAGCAGGGTGCAGAACTGGGGCTCTGGTGACCCTGCACTGGACACTGGGGATGTGCCAGCCCAGCTGTGGCCAGGTCAGCAGAGCCCACGCTGCCTGGAGGCTGAGTGCCTGGTGAGTGCCGTGGCCCAGGGCAGCCCCACGCTGTGCTCCCTGAGCTGGCCGGGAGCTTGTCTCTCTGGCAGGGCTGGAGCGTATTTTGCTAGGGGTGGAGCAGAGGCTCAGGAGGGTGGTTGTGGGTGAGGCCCTGCTGGGGACACATCCCAGCTCTGCCACTTTGTAGTTGTGTGGCTCCTCCTTAAGGAAGTCAACAAGCGAACCACAAACTGGCATTCTCGTGAGGGCAGGGGAGGTAAAGTGGAACTGGCAGGATTGTCCTCTTTCTACCCCTAAACAGGATGTTCGCCTCTGTCGTGTGAATTCTGCTCCCCAAGCCTATTTTAACCCTATTCTCCAGAAAGGGATGGGTGGGGGTCAATGTGCATGGAAACAGGGCTTTGCCTGGAGGGCCCCTTCTCTGGAGCTCTGGGGCTGGCTGCCCGGAGGGCTTGCCAGTGTCCTAGCCTGATGGCCCTGAGTGTGCGCTCTTCCTGCTCCCCCAGGGTTCTAGAGGCCTGGGCCCAGTTGGTAGCCCAGGACCATGTCCAGAGAGCTGCTGTCACCCAGCTCCAGCAGACTGGGCTCAGGAGCCTCCTGCGGACCCACTGGGTGCTGCTCAGAGTACATTCGAGACCACAGGCTGAAGCCCAGGAAGCCAGCACCGCCTACTCCAGGACCCAGGCCGACTTTATGCACTGGCCCAGGATGACCAGCTGGGGGCACCTCCTGCTGATGCTGGACACCTCAGCCCCTTGGAAGGAGGTAAAGGTAGGAGATCCACCAATGACCCCCAGACCACTAGCTTTAGAATTAGCTTGTTTCAGCCCATGGTGGCAATATGGTTGGATGCTTCTCCAGGAGCCTGACAGCCTTGTAGACACCACCCCTCCTTGGTTCTCAGTCAGCCACCCGGCTCTGGACAACAGGCAACTCTGGATCCATCAGCATTTACTGAGGATCTGCCGAGGGTCAGGGCAATGCAGGTCTGCTGCAAGCACCAATGTGCTGGGGTCACAGTCTTAGGGAGACAGACACTTAAATTCATTATATATCATGGTGCCATCTGGAATCAAGAGAGGTACACAAGGAGGACAGTGGTCATTTTTTGTCAGTTTTCCTTTTTTTTTTGAGAGAGTCTCACTATGTCATCCTCAGTAGAGCACTGTGGTGTCACAGCTCACAGCAACCTCAAACTCCTGGGCTTAAGTGATTCTCTTGCCTCAGCCTCCCAAGTAGCTTATAGGTACCCACCACAACGCCTGGTTAGTTTTTGGTTGTAGTTGTTGTTGTTTAGCTGGCCCAGGCTAGGCTTGAACCTGCCAGCCTTGGTGCATGTGAACCTGCCAGCCTTGGTGCGTGTGGCTGGCACTATAACCACTGTGCTACAGGTGCCGAGGCCAACGCCCACCTATTTTTAGAAATAGGGTCTTGCTGTGGGTTAGGCTGGTCTTAGAACTGGTGAGCTCAGGCAATCTACCCGCCTTGGCCTCCCAGAGTGCTAGGATTACGGGCCTGAGCCACTGTACCCAGCCTCAGGGCAACATTCTTTAAGAACACTTTTATACTTTGATTCCATTCCTGCCAGCAGAGACAAGGATCCCATATACAGATGGAGAAACTGAGGCTTATAGAAAACTATTAGGCATAGTACCCAGGATGCTTCATTTCAGGCCCCCTCCTTTCTGCCACAGGCATGCACATACGCAGTTATTAGGCCATCTCATGGTGGCACCGAGTCTCCTGGGAGAGCCCCTTCTCTGTACAGAGTACTTGCTAGGGGCCTGGGTCTAATTGAACTTTGTGAAGTTCAGGTAGGGAGAGTAATATCAAACTCCTCAAGCTGTACCTGGCACAGGCAAGCTCTCACGAAGAGGTAGCTATTATGGGCCGTCTGCTTAAATGTCTTCAGCTATATGGAACAGTGGGCAGAGAAAGAGGCAGTGGTGTCCTGCCAGCCACTCTATTCTTGGGCACCCCTTTGGTCTCCTCCAGGAACCCTAGAGAGCACTGAGGCAGCATGAACTATCCCATTTGTACACATAGTAGGAAGCCCTGCTAACGGGGGGAGGGCAGCAAAGGCAAGGACATCTCCCTCCCCCCAGGCCCCAGGAGGTCTGAGCCTGTTGGGTTCAGATTTTCCTCTCTGGCTGTTCCCTCAGACCTTCAGCTGCTGGACACAGGCCACAGGGCCAGTGCTGCCCGAGCCAACACTGCAGCACAGCCTGGGTGGACAGAAGACACAGAAGGAGACACCCTGGGCTCCAAGTAAGGAGAATGTGCCTCGGGGGACAAGTGAAGTACAGGCTGATGCATGGTGGGCCCCTGGGCTAATTGGTCCGATGTATTCACTGTTTCTCCACCATTTCCTCTTAAATATCTCAGCTGTTTTGAGAACTCTTCATTTTCTGGTCCCGCCCTGTCAGTTCTCTCTGGGCAGTAGCCCAGAACTGTGGGAGGCTCAGACGTAGGAAGGAGGGAGCTCAACTCTGTACCTCCCTTGACCTTCTTCATTGCTCTGGGCCTCTGGCCACTTGCCAAGGGACAAGTGCGTTAACCACTTCTGGCCACTTGCCTTCCTGGACCAGTGTGTTAACCACTTCTACTCAACTCTCCTTTCCAGGCAACAGAGAACATCCCCAGGGCCCTGCCTTCCAGCTCTGTGGCTGGGCCCCAGGCCTACCCCCAACAGGCCCAGGAGGGCAATGTAGCCCTGAGCCCAGGGCCCTCAAAGGCCAAGGTTGGGCACATCAGAGGAGGCTGGGGTGAGAGCCACTGTGCGCAGGGTGGGTGGAGCTGCCAGCGCTGGCAGTTACAGGGTCCTAGGGGGACAGGCCTGGCTAGTGGCTGTGTCCTTCTTCTGGCCATGTTGGCTCTCGATGCTCTTGGTCGTCAGGAGCAAGTACCTGCAGCGCTGGCGTCTTGAGGCTCTGCTTCACCGGCTGCGGGCTTCCCAGCAGGCTAGGTGCCTGGCAGCAACATGGCAGCGCTGGGCGGATGCTCAAGGCGCTGAGCAGCTGGCACAGTCCCTGGTGAGTGGACACAGCCCCACCCCACTCCATCCCTAGGGAGCTCAGAAGCTCTGGACATATTTTCTCCTGTTTCAATCTATCCTCAACCCTCACCCCTAGAAAGTGTCTCTCAAAGTATGGTCTCTGGATCTACTGAGTCTGAAGCCTTGAGGGGCGGGCCCAGGAATCTGCTGGACACAGAGGGAGGTGTAATGACAGCCCCTTGTCACAGCCCTTCACCCTGGTGCTACAGGGGTGCAGAAGAGGCAGCGGGGCTGGGGGCTGCTGGAGAGTGTAGGTGGGGGAGGCCTTCTCTGCCAACTGTCCCCATAGCTCAGGGAATGGCACCTAAGATGGGCCTGGCGGAGGTGGCGACAGCGGATCCTAAGACTTCGGGTGGCTGAGCGGTTACGGCAGCAAGAAGACAGCTGGGTCATTTCCCAGGTACTGGCATCCTCCTGGCCCCCCAGCCAGTCCTTTCAAATCCAGTGACACATCTGGACATTGCTGAGCTGGGGTCACCACTCCTAGGACCCCTTTGTTTTCAGGGATGGAGGATGGATCACTTACAGAACACACTGCCTCAATGCGAGCCCTTGAATGACTCAGGTCACAAGTTCAGCCCAGTCCCACCTGGGCACTCAGTTTGGGAACAAGGCTTGGCCTAGGGTGCCGCTGCTGCTCACACTGGCCCACATAGGGTCCCTGAGCACCCCACTCTCATTTGTTCCACTCTGAGCACAGCTTCCCGGATCATTGTCAAATCTGTTCTGAGCCTGTGCATTCTGCCTGGGGCAGGGCTGGCCACTTGGGGCAGAGGGACTATGGGGACAGAAGGAGCTAGGCACAGGGGTTGCTCTAGCAGGCATAGCACAGACCCTGAAGGGAGCTGAGACAAACAGCTCTCCCTCCCTCTCTGGTTCCAGGCCTTTGAGAAGTGGTATCAGCGCCTGGCAGCTAGGAGCCCCAGGAGAGGAGCCACCAGCAGCCCAAGACCCCTAAACAAGCCAGGAACCCCAGCTTCGAGCAGGAGGGAAGTTCCTGAGTCCCCAGGGGCAGGGGACTTGGTGGCCCAGCTGCAACTGTGACTTGTTCCCACCCTCCAGGAAGGGAACTGTGCCCCACACTCCTGGGGACTAGTGACAGTTGGACAGCTCAAGAAGCTCTGAAGAATAATAATGCCCTCCTCAGTCCTAGTTGCTTCTCTTGGTCAGTCTCTCCAAAAGGCTGCCTTTCTGCCCTGGCCAGAAGGGCCAGGCAAGAGTGAAGACGTCCCACAATTGTGCCAAACTCTGTCATCAGGCTGCTCCAGGACCCCCACCCCCACCCATGAGCTAGTGATCCAAGCCAAGGGATAGCCCGTCTGGATCTGCCAGTCACTGCTCTTGGGAGCAGTGCCAGAAGACAGCCTCTGGGACAGGAAGCGTAGAAGGGAAAGGGCACTTGGCATAGGGATGGCCTATATCAAAAATAAGCCAGAAGTGTGGCTGCTGCACAGCCCCAGGCAGCGCCAGGGCCTCTGCTTAGGTGAGCTTCACCTTTGCCTTTGACAGTTAATGAGCAGACAAAGCCATCCTGGCCAGGGGCAAGAAGGGCAGGTTCAGGCTGCCACCACGCTCAGGGAGTCAGGCCACTTCAACCCTCAGAAGGGCACCTTTTCTCTCAAGCCACAGAACACAGAGACAACTATTCCAAAAAGCAGCATTGTAGAAAGGGGAAGAACCCAGCTGAGCTCTCTGGGAGAATGTAAGAAACACCTGCATGATTAGGTGTCAGCCCGAGGCCCATCCAGGGGCCTGGTGCTATGGACGGCCATGTGGGTAGACAGAACAGTGGTTTACCCTGTCAGTCACAAGTAGGTTGGGCCTGGCTGCCAACATCTGGGGTGAGGGGGTGCAGCACCTTCACTTTGCCGTATATCTTCTATAAGGACACCAATGCCCACTGCCCCCATACCCCCGTGTGCTTTTCCAGTATTCCATGGACCCCAAGTGCAAGTTCATTGGACAGTCCAGGCTGGCTCCTAGAGGTTGCCTTGGTTCGAGGGCTCGGTTGGCAACAGCCGGTCTCCCCTCTCCTCAGGGAGGGAGCCATGCTCCCCACTATGGTCCTCTGCAGGGGGGAGGTGAACAACCCAAACAGCACACACTCCAGCTGGGGCAGGGAGCACCTGGCTCCCGTGTGGGGCCAACTGAGGTCCAGCCAGAGCCTGGGGACCTCACAGTAGTGTAGCTGCCATCATCACATCAGGCAGTGGAGGTCAGGGCAAGGCAGAGATGGAGGAGAGTAGGGTTCTGGGGAGACCCAGGACTGGGAGGAAGAAGGTGGGACACAAGCGTCCCCCACCTCGGGACATCAGGCCTCAGGGTCACGAAGCCTCCACCGCCCTCTCACTCTGACTGGGCCTGCTGAGAAGCTCAAGTGCGTCTTCTACCACCTGCCACAGACAGCTGTCCAGCGGGAACTCATTGTCCACCAGGTTGATCAGGAAGTAGTTGTCGTGGATGTGCTGGATGATCGTGCGGGATGGGGACTCCTCGTCGTATAGCTTGCCCCACTGCTCAATCCACAAGGCGAAGGCCTCGTCCTGCACACACACATGCACATACACATGCACACGGAGGCAAGGTCAACAGGGCTGCCCTCGGGTCAGGCTCCATGTGCTCACCATTCCCGGGGCCCTGTGCTACCCAGCAGAACGTGTCCAGGAATAGTACAAGGCCAACTGCCAGGGCCACTTCCTACCCAGCTGGGAAACAAACACTGCTCGTCAGCACTGACCCTGGTGAGTCAGAGCAGCCCTTGACTGGAGGGCTGAGTCCCTGGCCCTGGGATTGTGGCCTTTAGCCACACACTTGGAACCCAGCCACACTTTCTGTCTGGGCTGGGTTTTCTAGGTGGCTGGAGCAGGCCAGCACTTGGCTTCTTTACCTTCCAGAACATGAAGCTGACAGGATCCACTACTGTGGGCTGGATGATCTCTCGCCCAGGGAAGATGCCCCACGTGACGGCATTGGGCTGCAGCTCTGGGGCATTGGTGATGTTTTCACCCTGGGGGGCATGGGGCAAGGGTAAGAGCAGAGTGGGGCCAAGCACAGTCCCCTCATGCCTAGAGAGCCTCAGCTCCCTGGGACCTTCTACACTCAGGACTTTCCACCTGTGACCCCACTGCCCTACCTTCTCAGCCCACAAGCTGGGACCCAGAGGTCCTCCTGGGTGCTCCCCACTGTGCTCCCATCTGCCCCACATCCAGTTGGTTCAACCCTCTGATCCATTCCCTCCTGTCTCGCCCATGGCCAGGCCTGGGTTAGCACCAGGGCATCTTCACTGGCCTCCCCTGGCCCTAGCATCTGCACTGTGATCTGCCTAAAATATATAGAACAGAGACACCCCACGACTGGAGAAAGGCTCCCCTTGCCCTTAGGGAAAACGTAAATTCTAAGCAGGACGATCCAGACCACTGCAGACCTGCTGGCCCCTCCTTAACCATCCTGGCCTCCCCAGTTTCTTTGTAGATTGTGTGTCGATGCCTTGCACATCCCCTGCCCCTTCCCAGGAGTGCCCTTCTCCCCATTGGCCAGTTGCTCTCTGTTCTTAAGATTCAGACCACATGTGACCCCTCCAAGAAGCTTCCCCTGGTCTTCCAGGCTAGCTGTCCCTGTTCTGGACCCTACAGCTTGTCATACTGAACATGAACATCCTATTTACACTGGCTGGTGATCATTCACCTGTCTCCCTTGCTAGGCTGGGTGCTCTGAGAGCAGAGCCTGGTTTTGTCTGTGTCTGAGTCTTGCACAGTTCCTGGCCTTCGGGGCTAGACAGGGGGCCAAGCTGAATGCACTGCAGGCCGGAGGCTGGCCTGCCTAGAGCAGCCTAGCTGAGAGCTGGCCTGCCTGGGGCTGGCCCAGCTGGGAGCTGGCCCACCTAGGGGCTGTCCTACCTTCACATCCACAATGTGGTAATTAACCCGCAGCTCATACTTCTTCAGCACTTGCAGAAGCGCTTCTGCCGTCTCCCGGGAAGTGAAGAACTCTAAGTAGGCCTGTGGGAGACAGTGCCTGGCATGTCAGCCCCTTCCTTGTCACATGCCCTTTTAGAGACATGAGACAGGGACTACTGGCGGACACACGGATCAAGCACAATAACACAAGGGCTGAGGGCAGCAGGTGTGTGACACTTCTGGACAGCAGTGAGGGACTGCTGCCACCCAACCCCCCACCACTCAGAGAAGGTTCCTCAGAGAAAAAAGGCACCTGGCCTGGGTCTGACAAGCTGAGGCATGGGAGAGAGCCCAGCACATTCTGCCCTCTCCAGAGACTGGATGACGACAATGACACTGACATCACTAGCACCAGGGGCTACTGGGGATTAAGCTGGGATTACTTAAATCATTTGCTGGAATGCTCACAACACTGCAGGCTGGCACTGTTATCTCTGGATGAGGAAAGCAGGCTCCAGGTGGCTACTGTGACAGAAGACAGCAGGCCTGGTACCTGTCCCAGTGAGTTATGGCTCATTTTGCTAAAGAGAAAACCTGCCTACCTAGGTCCATCTGATTCAAAGCGTGAACTCCTGTCTACTCTGGTCCCTTAATTAATTCAAAATTAGAAGGTCAGGAAAGAAAGGCTGCTCTGACCCAATCTCTGGGAAACCCCTGGGTGCGAGCCAAGGCACGGTAGCACTATGCATGCCCACCACACCTTCTGAAAGACGTAGCCCCCACTGGGACCCCAGCCCACAACGGGGTCGGAGGACGGCCTCCCGTTGATGTTGGGCTGGGAGTTGATGGTGAGGATGCCCTGCCGGTTCACTCGGAGCAGCTCCTCCTTCATCAGGCTGGTCTCGGCCGCCAACGGTTCATCGTTCCAGGGCAAGCATGTCACCTGTGGGAGAGGGGGAGTTAGGCTGGGGTCGTGATCAGATCCAGCACCATGGGTCCCCCTTCCCATAGTCCCCCTCAGAGACTCTGCCTCCATGAGCCTATTCCAGGTGGGGGGTTCCCCATGCAGCCCCTCCCTGGGCTGAGCAGGAGACTTGGGGTGGGGGAGTTATGGTCCCATAGCCCGGCCCACGGCTGGAGACTGGGCGGGACCAGGGACCCCAGCCCATCACCACTCACTTTATGGCCATTCTGGTTTGGCTCTCCCGAGAGGTAGTGGACAAAGACATCAAAGACACTTTCTTCACTGGTCAGCTCCTCCCCCCACATCTTTAGCAATTCTTCCTTGGGGGACTTGCTTTTCAGGTAGAAGAGGTAATAGTCCTTCAGCTCCCCAAAGGCTGGAGAGGAAGAATTGCCCCTGGCAGAGGAAGGACCAGAGGTCAGGGTATACTCTTGACCGTGGGATACTGGCAGAGAGCCTTTGTCACCACATACCTAGGCAGCCAGTCTTGTAAATCCTGCCTCTGACCACCCCACCCCCCACCCCTGGGCTTGACCACAAGCAGCAAACTCCTACCCTTTCTTCCCAAGAACTAAGGAATGTGTGTGTGGACCCTCACCAGCGACCATTGGGGAACTCGTCCCACTCCTGGGTGCGGTAGATGTAACTCTTTGGCCTGGAGGCCCAGAAGATGGGACGTACGTCTTCTTCCCGGCGCTTGGGGTGGGCACTGACAGCCCAGGGCAAGGGACGCCTGGGGAGGATGGAGACAGACAAGGGATTGGCCAGAGGGAGCCAGAAGGAGGGGAGCCACGCTGAGCCTGGGTTCTCCCATCTGACTCCCTCCAAGACTAGAGCCCTTGGTGTGCCCTTTGTGCCACCAGGGGGTGAGAGGCGAGCACTGCATCTGGGACTGTGCGTGGACTTTCTTCTGGGGTCCCCTGGGCCACCACCCTCACCTGGGGTCCTCAGTCCACATGCCGAGGCGCTTCAGCACCTCTGTGGTAGCCATCTCTCGGTTGAGGGTGTAGAAGTGGAGGCCTGGCACCAAGCCGCTGGCCAGAAGCTCTTGGCACAGGCTCACAGCCAGCTCGATGCCATAGTTACGGATGGCGGCATCGTTGTCTTTGATTGGCTCAATCACGTCCTTGATCTTCTGTGGCACCTCCAGCTTGGACAGCTTCACAAGCTGCCGAAGGGAGTGATAGCCCTGTCCGAGACACGGGGGGCTGTGGGGTCATCTGCCCGCCGTCTTCCACCCTGTCCATCCTCCATCAGACCTCCTGGCCAGCTGCAGTGCCATATAGGAGGACCCAGGGAGGTCAGTCATACTGCAGGGGTGTGCTCGGGCTGTCCGGCTATCCCCACCCTTGCAGAGCAAAGCACCTGCCCATGAGCTCTCCTGCCATCAGGGTGAGAAAGTGTCTACTGGTGACATGGTTGTCATCTAACCCACCTGTTCCCAATCCTCACTGATCATCACAATGATGATCACCAGCCAAACTCAGAAGAAGTAAATACAAAACCCCATCTCAGATTTACTGAATGAGAACTTCAAGGGGTAGGACCCAGAAATCTATTGTTTTTTTCTTTTTGAGAGAGAACCTCAAGCTATCGCCCTGGTAGACTGCTGTGGTGGCACAGCTCGCAGCAACCTCTAATTCCTGGGCTTAAGCAATTCTCTTGCCTCAGCCTCCCAAGTAGCTGGGACCACAGGTACCTGCCACAGCGCCCGGCTATTTTTTTGGTTATAGTTATTGTTTGGGAGGGCCGGGCTGGATTTGAACCCACCAGCTCTGGTGTATGTGGCTGGGCCTTTGCCATTTGAGCTACAGGTGCTGAGCCCAGAAATCTATTCTTTGAAAAAGCTTCTCAAGTGGTTCTGATGACAGCCATGGTTAGGAAACATTGATTTCACCCGAATTTATAATGACACCTATAACCCCTTTTAGTGACACTTGTCAATAGGCCAAAGTACAAGAAGCCCTGCAATGATCGCTGTTTTCTGGGGAAAATTAGAGGTAACCACGTGGGGTGGCAATGCTGTACAAGAGAGGGGCACCTGCCTGGCTGGACACCCGATAAGCAGCAAAGAACAGTTTAGCATGAGCTCAGCACTTCACCCCCATAGCCCAGCCTGAGGGGTACATGAGCCTCCTACGCCCCTCACCTGAATGGGAAAAATCCCTGGGAGGATGGGGCAGGTGATGCCCATGTCGGTGCAAGCCTTCACAAAGTGGAGGAACGTGTCCGTCTCAAAGAAAAGCTGGGTGATGATGAAATCGGCCCCTGCAGATACCTTTGCCTTCAAGTGCTTCAGGTCAGCCTCAAAGCTCTCTGCTTCAGGATGGCCTTTGGGGTAACCTGCCAACAAGGATGACAGTCGGGAAAGGGGAGTGCTTAAGACCCGAGAGCCTGGGGACAGAGAGTCCTCTGCCTCCAGGTTCTGAACTCACACCTGCCAGCAGCACAGCACAGACAGAGCTGACACAGTAGATGGCTGGGCTCATGCATGACGTGCCCCGACCCTAGAGATGACCCTTGTAGGAGGGCAGTTGCCCTCCCAAGGGTGGGAGTGGATTGTTCCAAACTCTCCACGCTGCTCTGCCTCGGCCAGCCAGGCACATCAGGCCTGCGCTTGGTGGCCGTGGGAACAAGAAAAGGCTACATTTCACACCCGTCAGGCAACACTTAGGGTGCTGGGCTTGACTCTGGCTGCCAGATGAAGACACTGTTTTTCTTGTAACATTAAAATTACTCAGGGGTCCAAGGCAGTGAAAAGTCAGCAACCCAGTAACACAAGGAGGAACGGAAGAAAGTGATGTTCTGCTTGAAGAGATGAACAGAGAGGCCACAGCAACTCCCTTCCTGTGTCCAGGAGTCTGTCACAGAGCGTTCATGCTGGTGCAGTTTCTCATTGGTCTGTCCTGCATTGCCTTTGACAGCACAGCCAGCATCCATCCATCCTAGCAGTGGAGTGGGCAGCCCCACAAGGTCACAAGCTTGTGGAGTCTGAAAACACCAGGGTGATGGCCAAGTGTGGGGAGGCCGAAGATGGGATTCCAGAACTTCTGGGAGGTGGGAGCCGGCTCCATGAACCATGTGACTCCCCTAAACAACAAATTTACTGGCAGCCTTTCGAGGTCAGGAAAGCAGGAAGACCACAGACCTTAACAAAACTATAGGGAGAGCGCTGGCTTCCACAGCCCAAGCCCAGGGCAGGACTCTGGGCCAGGCGGGGGCAGACAGGAGTCCTGGGCCATCGGGAAGCGAGGCTGCTTTGCTGTGATAAGGCAGCTCCATTCCTTTTTTTTTTTTTTAATTGTTTATTTATTTTAATTTATTTATTTGCAGTTTTTTGGGCCGGGGCCGGGCTTGAACCCGCCACCCTGGTATATGGAGCCAGTGCCCTACTCCTTGAGCCACAGGCGCCACCGGCAGTTCCATTCTTAAGAAACCCTGAGTCATTACAAATGGATATAAAAACTGTTGTTTCGAAGCAGGAGAAGGATTAAGCACCAGAATTTTACACTTTCCATAATAAAGGTATTTTTCCATTAGGAACTTTAGAAACAAAGAAACTTTTTTTTTTTTGGATACAGAGTGTCACTTTGTTGCCCTCCAGTAGAGTCATAGCTCATAGCAACTTCAAACTCTTAGGCTCAAGCTATCCTCTTACCTCAGCCTCCCAAGTAGCTGGGACAACAGGTGCCTGCCACAACACAAAGAAGGTTTTTAATAGCTAAAACCGTGTACATATAAATCTAAGTACCACCAAACAAATCTAGCTAGCATGGATCACCCCCGGATTTTCCTCAGTTTATTATGATGTTCCTTATCACGACCAGCATGGTACTTTCCAATCCAATGATCTTCTATTATTCACTTTACAAGAAGCACAAAACTATTCACAACTGTGAGCTCACAGCTTCACTGGCTCGGATCGTGATCACTGAGCGCCCATCCTCTGACACACGTGGGCAAATCTCCCGATTAACCAACCGTATTATGGCCAATACAAGTGATGACAATTTGTACGGTGGGAAGTGCCTGTTCTGTTCCTGACGCCTAATCAGTGCTTCCCAGACTCAGCACTTCAACACCCTGTTGACAGAAGAGCGGACATGTAGATGGAGGGCTGGAGAACAGACCAAGTCACCCAGAAATAAGTGATTTTCTTAAAGCCATGTGGTTTTTAAATCCTTTTTTTTTTAATTTAAGATCACTTGAGATGCTACTTCATAATGTAGCATGCTTTTATTATTATTGAGACAGGGTCTTTCTCTGCTGCTCTGGCTAGAATGCAGTGGTGTTACTCTAGATCACTGCAGCCTCAAACCCCTGGGCTCAAGTTATCCTCCTGTTTCACCCTCCTGAGTAGCTGGGACTATAGGTGCCCACCACAATGCCTGGCTAAGAGACGGGGTCTCGCTCTTGCTCAGGCTCTGACTCTTAGCTTCAAGTGATCCTCCTGCCTTGGCCTCCCAAGGAGTCAGGAATACAGGCATGAGCCACTGTGTGCAGTCCCCATGGTTGTTTTAAAATTAAAAATGACAGGATTCCCCCCCTAAAATTGAGAAAAAATGATTCCTAGAAGATGTGCCAAGTCAATCTAGAGATTCCTGTGTGCCTGGCCCTCACTGCCTCACCATACCTAAGCCCTGTCTGAGAAGCTAAAGGTCTGATCCCAGCTTCAGCATCAAGAGCAGGAGGGAGGTCCACTTCATCCGTTTCTGCCAGGTGAACCTGGCCTCCTGGCTGTGACCAATGGAACCAGAGTTCAGCCAACCCAATTCTCTCTCTCGGGAATTTGGAATGGACACTGAGACCAGTTGGGGCTACTGGCTGGAACTGACACCATGGGCACCCAAGAGCAGGTCGTGTGTATGGAAGAGCGCAGACATCAGGTCTACTGGAGGACATGTGGAGCAGATGGGCAGCAGGAAGTGTGGATGGGGGACATGGTGTCCCCAGAGAGAATGAGGCCGGGCATTGGCTTCTGATGCTTCCAGTGCCTTGTGAGGTCTGAGGCCATTTCCTGACTTTGGGTTCCCTGCCCCCTGGAGTCCTCTTAATGAACGTCCATCTTCTGTTTTAAAGAAAAGAACAGGGCTGGGAAGGAGGCTGAGGAATAAAAACTGAAGGTGTAGTGGCAGCCCTGGGAGGGCAGTGGGCGACAGAATGAGAACAAGAGCACTGTGTGATCCACCTGTGCACATACCGGATGCTCCAGCCACTCACCTGCCACACAGATGTCAAAGTAGTCACCAAACTCATTGCGGATGTGTTTCACCAGGTCCACTGCATAGTTGAAGCCTCCTTCCTTCTCTTCCCACTGGTCACCTGTGGGGTCTGTGGGGTTGGTGGGGGCCAGTCACAGAAAGCCTTTTTGTTTCCTCTCCCCACACCTACATGGAGAACTGTGAGTCCCTGGACGGCTCCATATTATTTAAGTTTGGCTCTTCTTTTCCTAGCCCAGCAATTCGTAAATAGCGGGAGGGAAGGAGGCAGCCCTCCACCAAGTATTTACTGCGTGCAGACTGTGTGTGGCCCTGTGCGGGAGTGGAACAGGACATGGCTGCTGCTCCTCACTGAGCCTGGAGGGTTTGGGACCTCTTCCCCAAACACAACAGGGCATGCTGGGCACCCTGGCTCATCACTGTTCCTTGCTCTCCCAGGGCTATGGAGCTCCTGCCTCCCAGGAGAATTTTCTACTCAGCTCAGATGAGAACTAGACTTTTGCTAGGGAGTATGAGGCCACAACATCCCACCCATCGCGCTCCCTCTTCCCACTCTTAAGTGACCCAGTGACAGCAGGAACCAGCTATTCTCACTCCTGGACAAAAGCCAGAGCTGCACTCTGATTGGCCAAGTGCTGGGTGCAGCCAGTGATCAATGTAGCCCTGCAGCCAGGGTAGAAGGTTATCAGGCACTGACTCAGTCCTGAATGAACTCCTGCACCAGGGTCAAGAGGTGGCAGAGGCGGCTTCCTCTGGGGAGTGCTCACCGTAAGTTCACTACCCACATGGGACCCCAGGAAAAGTAAAGGACCATTCCAGGGATAGGAGAGGCCTTGGGGAAAGCCAGAACCCAGAGCCTAGGGGAGTGCTGGCTCCACACCTCCCCTCAGGGCCAGGATGTTCTTCAGGCCCAGCTGCTTGGCTTTGTGCAGATGGCCCGTGATCTCCTCCTGGCTCTGACAGCAGCAGGTCATGTGCAGGATGGTTTCCAGGCCACAGTAGTTCACGGCAGTGCTGGCAATCATCATGGAAGAGGTCTCCTTGTCTGAGCCAGGGTCCCCTGCTGGGTGCCAGGTCACATCTATGAAGAGGGGGCCCCCTGCCGCCATCCGGTCAAATCTGCAGGGGATTTCTTTCTGAAGACGGTTTCCAGGGGAAACACCACCGCCCACCACCACCTTCCCGGGGGCCCAGGAGTTAGGGAAGCATGATGTGGAAGTCAGAGTCAGATCAACCTGCCTGCACATCCTGGCTTTGCTTCCTACAGCTATGGGATCTTGGATGAACTAGTTAACCTCTCTGAACTTGGTGTCATTTATAAAATGTGGCAGATTGCAGTACCTACTTCACAATAACACCATGAGAATATGATGATAGCTGGCTCCTTGAACGGTGCCTGGCACACACTGAAGACGTAGTAAGCATGAAGCGCTATTATGATTGCCATTATTATAGGGATAATAAACAACAGAGACTCCACCACTCGGGATGAGAGCAGCGCTTCAGACTTTTCACAGTACTTGCAGTTATTATTTCAGGAGCGTTAAGATGTCATCATGGTTGAGGGTTAGGGAAATTCCTCAGTGATTTCCCCTCTTGACAGTCTCATTCCAGGAACAGGAAAGGGAGGGTCAGCAGATACAAATGCCTCTCCTGTGGCCTCCCAGCCTTGGCAGCAGCCCAAGGCCAAGTTCCTGAACAAGACTCAAAAGCTTGGACGGGCAGGGAGTACTTTCGTTATAAGGGTTTATGTAAACACAGACCTTGTGTCTTTAAACTTCGAAATCGTGCCTGGTCCATGCTCATGCCTGTAATCCTAGCAATCCAGGCAGGTGGGTTGCCTGAGCTCAGGAGTTCAAGACCAGCCTAAGCAAAAGCGAGACCCTATTCTATCTCTAAAAATAGTTGGATGTTATGGTGTGTGCCTGTAGTCCCAGCTACTTGAGAGGCTGGGCAAAAGGATTGCTTGAGCCCAAGAGTTTGAGGTTGCTGTGAGCTATAACACTATGGGCTCTCTAGTGAGAGTGACAAAGTGAGACTCTGTCGCAAAAGAATAAAAACCAAAAAACTTGGGAGAGACACATGTGAAGAGGAAATAATAAAGGCATAAACTTTAAAAAAAAACTGCATGGCTCAGCATCTGTAGCTTAGCAGTTTAGGGCGCCAGCCACATACACAGGAGCTGGTAGATTCAAACCCAACCCAGGCCTGCCGAACAACAATGACAACTACAACCAAAACATAGCCGGGCTTTGTGGTGGGTGCCTGTAGTCCCAGCTACTTAGGAGACTGGAGGCAAGAGAATCACTTAAGCCCAAGAGTTTGAGGTTGCTGTGAGCTGTGACACCATAGTACTCTACTCAGGGCGACATAGTAAGACTTTGTTTCAAAAAGAAAAAAAAAAACCTGCAGTGCTAATGTAATTCAGTTGGCATTTCTAGATCTTGAGGGGTATAATCCAAATTCCTAACTTGCTGAAAACATTCTCTAACATTCTCACTGCTTTGTGGCTTCCTAAACTGTCCTTGTGATCTCTAGCCCCAAGTTCCAGCCAAACAACATAGTTAAGAGAATCAACATTTTTAACCCATTGGAGAGTGTCTAAAAATAGCCGGCATGGGGTTGCAGAGGCACTCTTACATTCAGCCAAGAAGTTGCAGATCAAATGACCTACTCAGCCTTGTCTTTTCCTGCCCCCTCTGATTGCCGGGTTAAAGGGCAGCCCAGCTGCAGGGCTGACAGTTCACTTCCTTGCCACCCCCAACTCCTTCCCCACCTCAACTAGCATCAGTTTACCTTGAGATGAGATTGACAGCTCCCTGCGCAGTTCGAGGAGGGAAGAATTCCAAGGAGAACCACTTGTCACCAGATTCCATCCTCCGCCTCATCTTCTCCCGGAGTTTCTCATGCCGCTCCAGGTCCAGGCCTGGTGTGGAACATCTTGAACTATCTTTGGAGTTCTCACTGCCACTGCTGCTGCCCTCTGAGCGGAGGTTGAAGCCGCCAGTTCCTCTGGCCTCATTCACCATGGCTGAGTTCCTGCTGCACGGGGTGGGGCGGGGGACATCAGGGAGCGGGCAGCCAATCCCCAGGCACATTGAGGCACCTGAGTGGCAGGTTCGAGACGCTGCATTTCCAAGAAGGAAGACCAGTAAGGGGAAGGTGACAGCGCCCCCGCCCAGTGGCTCCACACTGCACAGCTATCTGCGCTGCCTCACTCAAAGCCTTGCCCTCCACTGCTGCCGGGCTCCTTGCACGCAAGGTAGCCCCCGCCCAGCACTAAAACATGCTCCTTCTGCCCACGGATCCTCGGTGACAGCTACCTGATGGAAGGTGACACAGATAATCTCACGCTGCTGGCCTCCGAGGCCCCCATTCCTAGGGAAGGGCAGTGGTGCATAGCTGGGAGGACCTTGGCTTTTCGATGGTCCATCTCTCAGCTCAGACCCAGAGTTACTGGGAGGGAACAGAGAAACCTTCCCCAGTGGGTGTATACAACTGGGCGGAGCTGTGACAAAGGAAGAGGCTTGAGCACAGCAAGGGGGCGGGGCAAGGCTTCCAGGCAGTGGAGGGAGGGCTGGGACTCTAATCAGAGGCACAGATGGAAGGAGGGGGAGACTCAGGCCAGCTGAGACCTCAGCGCTTGGTGGAGATGAGGCCAACAGACATTCAGGGTCACTGGGTCACTCTCCAGAGGAATAGCTCACTATGGCTGGCCCTGCCTGGAACATCTCGTTTGCTTGAAACAATTTTTTGTTTTTGTTAAAATATCACACACACACACACACACACACACATATATATGTACATATGTGTGTGTGTATATATATATATATTTTGAGACAGAGTTCACTTTGTTGCCCTGGGTAGAGTGCCCTGGCATTATTATAGCTCACAGCAACCTCAAACTCTTGGGCTCAAGCAATCCTCTTGCCTCAGTTTTTCTTTCTTTCTTTTTCTTTTTGAGACAGAGTCTCACTATGTCACCCTCAGTAGAGTCCCGTGGCATCACAGCTCATAGCAACCTCAAACTCCCAGGCTTAAGCGATTCTCTTGCCTCAGCCTCCCAGCAGCTGGGACTACAGGTACTTGCCACAATGCCTGCCTATTTTTTGTTGCAGTTGTCATTGTTGTTTTAGGTAGCCTAGGCTGGATTTGAACCCGCTAGCCTCAGTGTATGTGGCTAACACCGTAATCATTGTGCTACAGGTGCCAAGCCAGTTTTTTTCTATTTTTAGTAGAGAAGGGGTCTTGTTGCTCAGGCTGATCTCAAACTCCTGAGCTCAGGCAATACACACCTTGGCCTCCCAGAATGTTAAGATTACAAGTGTGAGCCACCACGAACAGCCTTAGAACAGTTTTTGTACAGGAAAAAAGGGGTGAGAGTTTAACTACACAAATTTTCCTCAGTTCATTCTACTCCATAAAGACCATGTTGTGGCTTAGAACTTGTAACTAGCTGTGTTCCAAAAGTAGCCAGACCCAAGTTCAGTCAGGGCACAAATTTATGTCCAACTCAAAACAAAGACTGACCCATCTGTGCCAACCCTGTAGGATGCTCTCCTTACACACACCACTAAAATCAATAGTCACGGTGATCTAGCTACACCAGAGGCTAAGTTGGGAGGATCACTTGAATCCAGAAGTTTAAGATCAGCCTGAGGCAACACAGACAGATCTTATCTCTTACCAAAAAAAAATTATCACAGTCTCTGCAGAGGCACCATGACAACCACAGGCAGGCCAACAGACGGGCACAGTGCCATTTGGCAGTTTGGTGGAGAAAATAAGACAAATACTTAAAAACGAAAGAAAACACTACCCTTGCGCAAATGCACAATAGTGAAAATGGGTGTGTGTGACCTGGTGCAATAGAGGGACAACCAGGTCAGCTTCATTCCTTTCAAGGAATGTTCACCACTAAACCGGTGGGCTTAACCTTCCTTGAGTCCTAGTCCTCTCTTGAAATCACTGCTCCTCTCCTCTGAACCACACACAAGTACACAGAATACGCACGGGTGCATCCAAGATCAAAGGATGTATTCCAGACTAAGAACCCTTGTGCCAACACTCTCTCCCCCTAGGATGTGCCTTCGATTCTGACCTAAAACTCCAGATTCCCAGTGAGGACTGCGCTGGGGAGCAAAAAAGGGGATAATGGCAAGAGCAGGCAGCTGGCCTTTCTTCTGCAGTGGACCAAGTGCCTCATTAACTGCGGGCTGGAACAAAACCTAGAGCAGGGGAGGAAGCTGAACCACCTACAAACTCTCTTCAAAGACAAGGCATTCCTAGAACATGCCAGGCCGGTGCCATATCATTATGCCTTCTCTAAACCAACACCCATTATTTATCCATTTTAAGTGGGGCTCTCACAGCACTCTGGGTTGTAACGGTTGTAACTGTGCGTTAACATGTTTGTCTCCCCTCTGAAACCAGGACCCGCATCCTGCCTGTGCTCTGTAATGACAACCAACACTCACTGAGGATCAAGGCGCCAGGTGCTGTCACTCCATTCGCAAAATAACCCTCTGCACTTACTGAACACTTAACTCAGACGGAGTCAACACCATGATACTAAGCCCACCTTCCCCGAAGGGCTCTGGCCGACACTCCAGCGCAGTGGGGCTCAGTGGGCACCGAGACTGCAGTGCCAGCGGCCCCACCACTCTTCTCCAGGTGCTGGCCTTGGAGGCAGGTTTAAACGGCTGGAACCTCGGCACCCAGGTGGCTGGAGGACCGGGAAGAGAGTCACCAGGTCACTGGGGCGCGCGCGGGAGGGGCTCGGGATCACCATCCCTGGCTCAGGGCCCTCTCATCTCCCGGGTTCCCCCGTGCAAGCAAGGAGCCGAAAATGGGGGTCGCTGTGAGTGTCAGCCCTGGAGAGTTACTCTAATCCCGCGAGGGGTGCGCAGAGGTAGTGGGAGCTCCCCCCACAATTAGAGGGGCGGGTCGGCCTCCAACGCTTCCCGCCCACAAGCAAGTGCCCGCCCCCGATGGGTGTTCGGAGTCTCCAACCCCGACGACCCCAGGCTTCACAGTCACTCACCCTTCGGTACCCGGTGACTCAGGTCGCATGCCGGCCAGTCACAGCTGTGGGGCCGCAGTGGGGGCGCGCGAGGGCGGGGCACGGAGCAGGTGTCAGGTTGCTACGGTAGGCGGGCCCAGAGGGCGGATACGGCCCGAGCGGGCGAGCGGAAGCCCCGCCCCCAACATGGCGGCGCCCAGCGGTCTCGTTGGAAGCCGTCCCTTTACCGTCATGTGACGTAAGCCGTCGCCCCACCCGTCTGCAGCCACTCCTTGTCTCGGTCTCCCCGCTCCAGAGGACCATGTGACCATCCCAGGGCCGGTCACGTGGGGCGCGGATCCTGGGTGGGAGGGGGTTGGCAGAGGGGTCTGGAGCGGCAGTAAAGGAGGAAGATGGCGGGATGCAGGGCTTCTTCCCAGTGCTGCTGCTGCAAGTTTTGCTGCTGCTGCTGCGGTGAGCATGAGACCCGCACCCCAGAGGAGCTGGTAAGGAACGCGCAGCGCTGGGATGGGGAGGGGGCGGTTGCTAAGGGACTTCGAGAGGCGTTGCCGGGGGTGGGGCCGGGCCGAGCTAGGCCTGCAGGTGGCAGCGGGTGCGGCCTGGAGACCGCAGCGTAGGCTCTGGAAGCCTCCGCCCTTCTTCACACGCCCCAAGACTGCGGCCTTTTCTCATAACCTGCCCTCCTCACCCCTGGAATCTGGGGTAGAATCCAGGATAGCTTCAATTAATCTCATTTGTGTTTTCTTTTATTTCCATCTGAAAAGAGTTTTGAATGGAACAAGCGTTTTGCAGAACGAGCTCCTTCACAGGATTTTGTGCTTATCACGCAGCTGACTTAGTTTCTCCAGCCCTTGCTTACTCTATTCCTCACCCTTTCTGGGTCACTGACAATCAAGATTTCCACTGCAAAGCACTCTGGGAAAATCTGTGTTGTGTTCCCAGCGTTGACAGGTCCATTCTGATTTCAAATTCAGCATACTGTCAGATGGAATGTGAATTTTTCCCCCTCTTGAGCTGACGTTGCACATCTTTGGAAGTGTCCTGAAGACGAGTGGTCATTTGGAGAATGTATCAATAGAAAGAAGAGCTCAGCTGGATGACTGATCCTCACCCATATGGCCCCCCACCCCAAAAGATTTTTTGCCATCTTGTTCCCATTTGATAATAGCTCCAGATTTAGACGTGAGCAACTGATTTTAGTAAATACTTCTGCCTCCTTCCACTCTTAGCCACTAAAAAGGGCTCCCTCTGTGGATCTGTTTTTCTAGACCATCCTTGGAGAAACACAGGAGGAGGAGGATGAGATCCTTCCAAGGAAAGACTATGAGGTGAGATGCTTAGGTCCTATCTAGGGTAACTAAAGTAGTGAGTGGCCTGGTCACTTCAGGTGGAAGCACTGTGATTCCAACCAGTGATGCTCTTTGACTGTCCCAGGGAGTGAGAGGGTAAGAGATAACTTCCTTCTGGGAAAGGGGCTGTTTAACAAGCCCTTTTCTCATTTTAACCCAAAACAAAGTCTGTCTCATGCAGGGCTGTCCAACCTGCAGCCCATGGGCTGCATGCACATTATTTGAGGCTTGTTTTGCTTATCTGTGGTGTGTCAGATAATCGCAAGAATTATACACTGACATTTCTTTTTGCTCATCAGCTTTTGATAGTATTTGTGTAGGTAGTGTGTGGCCCAAGACAACTCTTCTTCTTCCAATGTGCAACAGGGGAAAAAAAAAAGACTGGATACCCCTGGCTGTCTTTATGCGTTTATAGATCTGTGGTATCTTAACCTGGACAGCATATGTGTTTGCTATTAAGCCGTTTGCTTTTACAACTTACCCAGCCAGAGTAAAACCCACTGACAGTGTTTGCTGGTAACAGGTGTGCGATTCTAACTTGTCATGGAGGCCTTGCTTCTCTCCTAATAGAGCTTAGTTTTCCGATGATTGTCTTCCTGCCCAGTTTCTCTCTGCAGTGTTCTTGATCGTAGTCCCCGGTTTCAAGTAGGAACTCTATTTAGAGTATGTGTGTTTCTAGTAAAGCCACCACTACGGGAGTGAAACTTAACGTGTCGCTTTTTATCATATAATCAGTTCATGTCTTTTCTGTGACTTTTGAAATTACAAAAATAAGCCATGGTTGTGACAGAAAGTCTTTATATACAAAAGGAAGGTAGAGAAAAATTTATAACGCCACTCATGAAAAGATAGCTACATAACACCTTACTGAATGTCCTTACACATCTTTGTGCATGTTTATATGTATGCTTTTTTTAAGTAACAGAATTGAGATTCTACTAATTATACTGTTTTAACCAGTCCTGCTCCCCCTCTGCTTTGTAAATTTTTTTTTTTCTTGAGGCAGAGTCTCTCTCTGTTGCATGGTCGAGAATACAGTGGCATCATCAGAGCACACTCCAACCTCAATTGCCAGACAAAAAGGATCCTCCTGCCTTAGTCTGCTGAGGGCTGGGACTATAGGTGTGCATTGCTGTACCTAGCTAATTAAAAAACATTTTTTTAGAGATGGGTCTTACCCCGTCTCACTCTTGGGCTCAAGTGATCCTCCTGCCTTAGTCTCCCAAAGTGCTGAGATTACAGGTGTGAGGCACTGTACCCACTTTAATAATTTTTGTTTGCTAGTTATTTTTCTAGTAAGAACTTTGTAAATAGGGAAAGAGTATTTTATTGTGCCACGATTTATTTACTCCATCTTTGATTTTTTCTAACTATTTCGTAAAGTGAACCACATAGTATGGAGCATTCATCTTTTCTTTTCCATCTTTAATTGCTCCCTCAGGATTAAATCCAAGAAGTAGAATTAATCATATGTATATTAAATGTCATCTAGACATAGAAAACCCAGTATGCCTGACAATAGCATACCCAGCCTAATTTTCTGTTTAATATTTCATCTCACTTTTGCTTTGGAATTTAGTGTTATCTTGGGGATTTGTACTGTAGCACACACACGGGGTTTTTTTTTTTTTTTTTTTTAGCTTTTATTGTTGTAGCCGACACGTATAGTCCCACCTACATGGGAGTTTGAGGCAAGAGAATGGCTTAAGCCCAAGAGTTTGAGGTTGCTGTGAGCCATGATGCCACAACACTCCTCCAAGGGTGACATAGTGAGACTCTGACTCAAAAAACAAACATATGCAAAAACAGACAAAATCCTCTACTAAAACCCCTTTTCCTGGTTACACGGGTTCAAGTCATTCAGCTCAAGCCCCACCTTGTTTTGTCTATGCTTTTATTGTTCGTTTCTCCCTTCCCTTATTATTTTGAAGGAATTCTATACATCATATCAGTTCACCTATAAGTAATCCAGTATCCTGGAGGATTAGGACTTTTTTTTTTTAGCATAACAATACCATTGTCATATAGTAAAGAAAATAGCAATTTACTTTTGTTTTTTGGAACAGAGTCTCAAGCTGTTGCCCTGGGTAGAATGCTGTGGCATCACAACTCACGGCAACCTCAAACTCTTGGGAATAAGCGATTCTCTTGCCTCACCCTGCCAAGTAGCTAGGACTGCAGGCGCCCACCACAAAGCCCGGCTATTTTTTTTTTTTTTTTTGTAGTTTGGCTGGGGTGGGGTTCGAACCCACCCTTGGTATATGGAGCCAGCACCCTACCTGCTGAGCCACAGGTGCCACCCAGAAAATAGCAATCTCTTGATAACAGATACCCAGTAGTTCACATTTTTTAGTTTTCTTATGAATGTCATATGTATTTTAAGTTTGTTTGAATCAGATTCCAAATGAGGTCCTCACATTGCATTTATTTAATCTATCTTTTAAATTTCTTTTAATCTGTAGGTTTCTCCTTCATCTTCTCCCCCCACCCCCCTTATGTTTCACAACATAGTTAGGGCCCTGGAATTTTCTACTGTCTGGATTTTGCCCCGTAGTTTAACATGTTACCATAATGGGACTGCTTTTTTTTTTTTGAGACAGAGCCTCAAGCTGTCCCCCTGGGTAGAGTGCTGTGGCATCACAGCTCACAGGAACCTCCAACTCCTGGGCTCAAGCAGTTCTCCTGCCTCTGCCTCCCAAGTAGCTGGGACTCCAGGCACCTGCCACAACGCCCGGCTATTTTTTGGTTGCAGCCATCATTGTTATTTGGGGGGGGCAGGGCTGGATTCAAACCGCCAGCTCAGGTGTATATGGCTGCCGCCTTAGCCGCTTGAGCCACAGGTGCCAAGCCAATGGGACTGCTTTAAATGAATCATCAAGATCTGTATCCACTGATGCATTTTCTCCTATTTCTTTTTTTTTTTTGCGATGGAGTCACAGTATGTCACCCTTGGTAGAGTGCCATGGTATCACAGCTCACAGCAACCTCAAACTCTTGGGCTTAAACAATTCTCTTTCCTCAGCCTCCAAGTAGCTGGGACTATAGGTGCCTGTCACAATGCCCAGCTATTTTTTTTATTGTTGCAGTTGTCATTGTTTAGCAGGCCGGGGCCAGTTTCGAACCTGCCAGCCTGGCTGGTGCCATAACCACTGTGCTACAGGCAGCAAGCCTCTTTTTTTTTTTTTAATTTTAGGTTAATGTGAGATAAAAATCGTAATATTTCGATTTGTTAGGTAGGTAGAGTCCCTGCTATGCCCATTCAGTGGAAGCACCCCAAAGCCCCTTTCCCCTCTCATCCCCCTCTCTCATTTCCCTTCCCCCCAACTTGAACTGAAATGAATTTTTCTCTAGTGGGGGTATGAATTAGATCATCTACTGGCTTCATATTAGTATTGAGTACATTGGATATTTGCTTTTCCATTCTTTTTTTTTTTTTTTTTTTTGAGACAGTCTCACTATGTCGCCTTGGGTAGAATGCCATGGCATCACAGCTCACAACAACCTCAAGGTCTTGGGCTTAAGCGATTATGCTGCCTCAGCCTCCAGAGTAGCTGGGACTACAGGTGCCCACCACAACGCCCAGCTATTTTTTGGTTGCAGTTGTCATTGTTGTTTGGCAAGCCTGGGCTGGATTTGAACCCACTAGCTCCAGTATATGTGGCTGGCGCCATAGCCACTGAGCTACAGGTGCCGAGCCTGCTTTTCCATTCTTGTGGTACTTTACTGAGAAGAGTGTGTTTGAACTCCATCCAGGTTACTAGAAAAGATGTGACATCACCATCTTTTTATGGTTAAATAGTATTTCATGGTATGCGTATACCACGGTTTGTTAATCCATTCCTGAGTTAATGGGCATTCAGGTTACATCTCAGTGATTATAAATTGAGCTGTAGGCTCGGCGCCTATAGCTCAACCGGCTAAGGCGCCAGCCACGTACACCTAAGGTGGCGGGTTCGAATCCCCAGCCCGGACCCGCCAAACAACAACAACAGCTGCAACCAAAAAATAGCCAGGCGTTGTGGCGGGCGCCTGTGGTCCCAGCTACTTGGGAGGTAGAGGCAGGAGACTCGCTTGAGCCCAGGAGTTGGAGGTTGCTGTGAGCTGTAATGCCACGGCACTCTACCCAGGGGGACAGCTTGAGGCTCTGTCTCAAAAAAATAAAAAAATAAAAAATAAAAAAAAATAAATTGAGCTGTAATAAACAATCTAGTGCATATATGTATATCCTTATGATAAAATAATTTTTTTTCTTCTAGGTAGATGCCTAGTAATGGGATTGTGGGCTCAAATGGGAGATCTGAGGTCATTGAGGATTCTCCATGCTTCCTTCCAAAGAGGCTGTATTAGTTTACAGTCCCATTTTCCTCTATCTCTTAAGTGTTTCCTTGTACACAGTTGAGAGGTTTGCAGGGGTTCGTATAAGATGCTTTATAGTGTGTGCTGTCACCTTGCCCTCTCTGACTGAACCCTGTTGTATACTGCTGATCGCGTTAGCAAGACTGAGCCCGTCTCAGGCCTCCGTCCTACTCCAGGAGGTCCCAGAGGCTTCTCCATAGACCCTACTATTACACCAAAGCTACTTCAGTCTTTCCACTAAATTGCTCTTGTATTTGTAATGTACTTGGCTGTCAGCGATATACATACTCATGTCAATTTTATGGGTTAATAATGTTCTTTCATGCGGTTAACAGTCTTCAACTAACCAACGCAGAATATGAGCTGCTTGAGAGCATGTGATTTGCGTAAGAACAAATTCAGTTAGGTAATTAGTCAGAGAAGTCTACTCAGATTTTATTTATTAAGGGTCACATAGAAAAACCTCCTGTTGAAAAATCTTTCAAAAATGTGGTCATTCTCCTTCCTACCTCAAGAATAGTTCATTGCATTACTTGACTTTCTTTATAAATGAGGGTATTACAAGATGTTAGAATCCTTGTTTTGACATCCATTCTCATTATAGGTAATTTGAGTAATAATAC